TGATTGAAGAGAGCAAACACTGAGAAACTGGGTTAAAAAACAGGTTTAACATGAGTGTGTGTGTGTGTGTGTGTGTGTGTGTGTGTGTGTGTGTGACTACATGTGAGGGTGTGGTGACAATCATCAATAGCACAATGACATGTTGTTCTGAAATGATTTTAAGTTGAGGAAGAAATTCCTGCTCTTGAACTCTCTGTGCTTCTTGTAATTATCATCCAACCTGTTCTGTGTGTAGACACCTTCATTCCACACATAACACACATAACACACACACACACACACACACACACACACACACACACACACACATACACTTGCTCTTTTCTCCTTCGTCTCCTGGAGAGAAATATTTCACGAGTTTCTTTCACGGTTCATTCGACAGAAACTGGAACTGATCAGACTTTATTTAAATCCACGTTAATTAATCTGTTGTGATTCATGTTAAACTGCAGAGAAAATATAAATATTCATGTTAGAAATAAACATTCAGGCACAAAAATATCAAAGAACCTGGAGCTCACACACTGATTCTACTTTCTACTTGTACTCAACTACATTTCAGAGTAATATTCCTGTATACCTCATGTCCTGAGTTAAATATAAATCATATAACTTCATATGTTCACCTTTTATCGTCTCAGCTTCAATTTATGACGTCATGTCGGACTAAAGATATCGGCCAAATGAGTAAAAGTGACTTTATTGTATCAGGTGTGAATCTGATGTAAACTCAGTATAAACCTGTTTTAAAGGTACAGTGTGTAGAATTCAGAGACATCTAGTGTTGAAGTGTCATGTTGCAGCTTTAAATCTGGTTTAAACTCTGGGTTTGGCTTCAATATGTTTGAATAAAAATATTTAAGTAGAAATTAGTCAGATCAAACAGAGTTAAACAGAGGGATGAGGAGGAGGAGGAGGAGGAGGAGGAGGATGAGGAGGAGAAGGAGGAGGAGGAGGAAGAGGAGAAGGAGGAGGAGGAGGAAGAGGAGGAGTGAGGAGGTCTGAGTATAAAAGCTGCTGTTCACTTTCTGTCCAGTTCAGACTCAATAAACTCACGTTGACGTTCGTGTCGTGTGGACCTGCTGAACTTCAACATGTTCCACCGGTGAGTTTCTTCATTTCATCTTACTCCCAAACTCAAACCTGATCAATCTGTTCTCTCAGAATCATCATCGGTTCCTTTTCTGACATTTGAACATTTTTGTGTGTCAGAAAAGATTTTAAATTATTTTTCATGTGTGATAAAAGTCATAAAACAACGTTTCTGTAAAATCCATAAGTCATTTTTAATTTTGCTTCTGCAGCTGATTGAGATTTAAAGTCTTTTCTTTTCTGTCTCTGAGAATCGGAGCTTTTTTTTTTTCTATACGTCAGACAAGAAGAGACGCTTTGTTTTTTTTCAGTGGAGGAAACACAAAGGAACAGTATTTTAACTCTTCAGAGTGAAGCTGCGTCCAGACACCTGACACTCACACACCTCAGTCGTCATGCTGCATTCTTCTCTGCAACTTCACCACTTCACATTCCTCCTCCTCGCTCACTTTATTTATTGATTTCTTTCACATTTACCTGTTTTTTACTTGAATCCAGTTTCAAAGATAAAAAAGTTTGAACTGTGATTCCTCCTCTTGTCTCTCTGAATGTATTTCTGTTGAGGTTGATTTATATTTAGTGCAACACTGACACATTGTGTCAAACTGTTTCATTTCATTCGTGTTTCTCTTCTTCTCTCCTCACGACATCATGTAAACAACCTGCAGTCAAATCAACCTGTGTGTGTTTCTTCCTCTCTCCTCACGACATCATGCAAAACATCATGTAAACAAGCTGCAGTCAAATCAACCTGTGTGTGTGTGTGTGTGTGTGTGTGTGTGTGTGTGTGTGTGTTACAGGTGTGTTTTCCTGCTGCTCGTCACCCTCTTCGCCGTCTCTCTGGCAGCTCCTGTCCCAGGTAAACTATGACTTAAAGTTTAATATTCAATATTACAATTCTCATGGTTCATGTGTATTTATTAATCCTCATTATTACGACTGATCATTTTATGGATCACATCTTAAGATTAGAGCTGGGTGATGTTCTGGTCTGTGTTTTTGAAACAATAAACTTAATTTGAAACTGCACATTTACATAAATGTGACTGATAATAACAGAGGGCGGAGCAGAGCAGCGGTTGACATGGTTACTCACATAACCACGGCAGGACACGTCATCATGAACAGTTCATACAACAACGAACAGTAAAGACTTTTAAATGATGAATCATTCATCAGACGAGATAATCACATCTGAACACGAACACCAGAGAAGAATTATGAATTCATTAATAAATCATCACGATTGACTGGTCACTCCCACTCACATATTTAATGAAGCCTCACAAAGTGAAAGATCATTTCATTGAATACAGACAGGTGATTGTGTGTGTGTGTGTGTGTGTGTGTGTGTGTGTGTGTGTGTGTGTGTGTGTGTGTGTGATGTGGTGTTTTCTTGTCTTTCAGATGATTCAGCGGACAGCAGTAAGTATGACAGAGCAGCCAATCAGAGCGCAGCAAACTGGTCACATCAGACACACAATTTCTGATCACGCCCCCTAGAGGCAGCTTTGGTTATTACAACCAGTTTGTTTAATTCACTCAATCATCAAAACACACACACACACACACACACAC